TGGTAAAAGAAGTACTACTAAAGAAAATAAAAACCTTAAAAAACAGAATTGGCCAAATGGAAAAAGAGGTACAAAAATTCACTGAAGTAAATAATTCATTAAAAATTAGAATTAGCAAGTAGAAGCTAAAGACTCCATGAGATATCAAGAAACAATCAAACAAAGTCAAAAAGAGTGAAAAAATAGAAGAAAGCATGAAATATATCATCAGAAAGAAACTGATCTGGAAAACAGATTGAGAAAAGTTTAAGATTTATCAGACTACCTGAAAGCCATGATCAAAGAAAGAGCCAAGATACCATATTTCAAGAAATTTTCAAGGAAAACTGTCCCAATATCCAAGAACAACAGGGTGAAGTAGAAATTGAAAGAATCCACTGATCACCACCTGAAAGAGATCCCAAAATGAAAACTCCCATGAATATTATAACTAAATTCCACAGCATCCAGGTCAAAGAGAAAACATTTCAAGCAGCCAGAAAGAAACTATGCAAAAGCTGTGGAACTGACAAGATTAAACAATATTTAGTAGTTACCACAGTAAAGAAGCAGAGGGCTTGAAATATTATATTCTGGAAGGCAAAAAAAAAAAAGCTGGGTTTACAACCAATAATAACCTACACAACAAAACTGAGTGTAATTCTTGGAGGGGAAAAAACATATATTTAATAAAACAGAAGACTTTCAAGCTTTCTGATGAAAAGACCAGAGCTGAATAGAAAATTTGACTTTCAAATGTAAGATTCAAAAGAAGCATAAAAAGGTAAACAAGAAATAGAAATCATAAGGGATTCAATAATTTCTGTATGAAAAGATGATACATGTAACTTCTAAGAACTTTGTCATTATTAGGGCAATTAGGAGCCACAAAGAAAAAGAATGTGGGAGTGAATCAATTATGTTGATTATTTTTAAAAATGAATAGGCAAGAAAGAGGGATGCAATAGAAGAAAAGGGAAGGGAGAGGAAGAATAGGAAAAATTGTCTCACATAAACGAGGTATGTGAGAAAGAGCTTTTACAGTGGAGGGGAAAATAATGGCAGGGGTCAACATTTGAACCTCACTCACATCTAAACTGATTCAAAGAAAGGAGGAAAATATAAGTAGGAGGGGAAAAGGAAATGGGAAAGGAGAGGGGGTGATGAAAGGGAGGGTAGATAAAAGATTGTTATCTCAGAAAAAGCAAAAACAAAAATAGACCTAATTAAAAGGGATAAGCAGGGAAGCTACATCTTGCTAAAAGGCAACATAGACAATGAAATAATATCAATACTAAATATATATGCATCAAATAGAATAGCACCCAACTTCTTAAAAGAAAAGTTAAATGAGTTCCAAGAGGAAATAGACAGTAAAACCATATTAGCAGAGGACCTCAGCTTTCCTCCACCAGAGATAGATAAATTTGACCAAAGAATAAATAAGAAAGAAGTCAAGGGGATTAATAGAATCTCAGAAAAGTTACTTGTGACAGACCTCTGGAGAAAACTGAATGGGAAAAGAGAGGAGTATACCTTTATCTTAGGTAGCTAGGTGGCACAGTGCATAGAATGCTAGGCCTGGAGTCAAGAAGACTCAACTCCTGATTTCAAATGTGGCATCAGACACTTACTAGCTGTGTAACCCTGGGCAACTCACTTAACCCTGTTTGCCTCAGTTCCTCATCTGTAAAATGAGCTGGAGAAGGAAATGGCAAATCACTCCAATATCTTTGAGAAGAAAACTCAAAATAAGGTCACAGAGAGTCAGACATTACTGAAATGACTATACAACAAATGCCCTTATCTCAGCTGTATATGGCACCTTCACAAAAATTGACCATATATTAGGGCATAAGAACCTTACAACCAAATGCAGAAAAGCATAAATATTAAATGTAACTTTATCAGACCACAATGCAATAAACATTACATTTAATAAAGGGATGTGAAAATGTGGATTAAAAATTAATTGAAAACTAAACAATCTAATTTTAAAGAATGAATGGGTCAAAGAACAATTTTTTTAAAAAATTCATTAAAGAGAATGACAAAAATGAGACAACATTCTAAAATCTGTGGGATTCAGCCAAAGAAGTACTAAGGGGAAATTTTATATTTCTACATGTACACATTAATAAAAGAGAGAAAGAGCAGATCAATGAATTGGGCAACTAAACACTAAAAAAAAACCTAGAAAAAGAACAAAAATCCCCAATTAAACACCAAAATAGAAATCTTGAAGATCAAAGGAGAGATTAATAAAATTAAAAGTAAGAGAAATTATTTATTACTTATTTAGTAAAACTAAGAGCTGATTTTGGGGGGGGACAAATAAACCATTGATTTAAAAAAAATATTTTACAAGTATAAAAAATGAAAAGAGGGAATACACCACCAATGAAGATGAAATGAAAGCAATTATTAGGAGTTATTTTGCCCAATTATAACCAGGAAAATGGAGAATATAAGTGAAATAGATGAATATATTTAAAAATACAAACTACCCAGATTAACAGAAGAGGAAAAGAATATTTAAATAACTCTGTCTTAGCAAAAAGAAATTAAATGAGCCATAAAGTCCCTGAGAAAAAAAAATCCCCAGCATCAGAAGGATTTATAAGCAAATTCTACCAAACACTGAAGAAACAATTAATCCCAGTACAATACAAACTATATGAAAAATAGGTAAAGCAATCCTACCAAATTCCTCTTATGACACAAATATGATTTTGACACACAAACCAGAAAGAGTAAAAACAGATAAAGAAAACTATAGACCAATTTTCCTAATGAACATTGATACAAAAATGTTAAAAAAAAAAATTTAAAAACCTAACAAGGAGATTACAGCAATATATCACAAAGATCATACACTATGACTAGGCGGGATTTATGTCAGAAATTCAGGGCTGGTTCAACATTAGGAAAACTATCAGTATAAATGATCATATCAATAATAAAAACAACAAAAATCATATGATTTTATCAATAGATGAAGAAAAAAGCCTTTGACAAAATACAACACCCATTACTATAGAAACACTAAAAAGCATAGGAATAAATGGTGCCTTTCTTAAAATGATAAGTAATACCTATCTAAAACAAAGTGGAAGCATCATACATACATACTTGCATATATACATACATACATACATATATACATACATACATACATACATACATACATACATACATACATACATATATTTTATCTGATTTCTGTCTTTCTACTGAGTTGAATAATTGTGTTTCTCTGGGAATTGGAATTGCTATTTGGTGGGAAGAGAGTCATTCCTTGGATATAAAGCTTCAAACCTCCCTTCCCCATCATGGAACAGTGATCAGTAATTTAGCTTGAGCCTAAAAATTATGTCCTCTAGACTAATAAGATTTAAGGAATCAGATAAATATAATTCTAGCCTGCTATCCCCTTCTCTCTGAGGAGAGCAGAATGGTGGCCAGTTGCTGGTTCTAACCTTCTATTTCCCTTATTTTCAGGAATTGTAGTACCTCTTGGAGAAAGATGGGTGGAAAAGATGCTAGAGATTCTTGCCTCCCTGAGAGCCACAAATGACACCACTTGCTATACTAACAATAAATTATTCCAGTTCATATTTGTGTTTGCTGATTGGGCACTGAAATAAAGGGAGAAGAGACCCTCTGGAAATCCTCCAGCAGCCCTGTATACTCTGATTAATATGGGAGCCAAATATTTCCACAGTGTGAGCTGCTCTCAAAAACTAATACTCTACCAGAACCTGCATCAACTCCAATTGCTCCCAAGTAGGATCTGGGCAAATTTTGATGAGGCCAGATCATTTCTGGGAAATAAGATTTCTGGGGACAGAGAATTTAGGGAACCAAATATTTTAGGGAAATATTTAGGGAACTCAAAATATTTTGCATGTTTTGGAGCAAACCGCTCACTTTATTTCATGGTACTTAACAAGGTTTTGAGGATGTCTTGGAAATCACTGAGTGTAACTCCTTTCTACCCTTACGCTAGTTCCCTTCAGTCCACTGACCTTTTATTATATGAAGCGGCCATAAAAAGCATATTGCAGACTCAGGGTAAAGGGTAGTAGAGATTGATCTGGAGGATTCAACCCATTGACTGAAGTGTATATTCATTCTAAAGCAAACAGATAATAAAATCATAATAACCATCATCATGATTTAACTGAAAACAGTCTCTGAAGCCAGAGAACAGAGTAGCAAGTGGCATGGAAAACACAGAGCTTTGGCCCAGGAAGCTAACAAGGCTTCTTCACCCAGTTCCTGTTTTGAAATTATCCCCTGGTACAGAAGGGTTGAACTGAGATCTTGCATCTGAGGCTTATAACCTTGTAACTTTGGTCAATCCACTTTACCTTCCTTGGCCTCAGTTTCCTCATATGTAAAATGATACCACTGGACCAGATGGCCACCAACGTCTCTTTCAGTTCTTAATCTAGGATCCTGTATAACTCCCTCTCCCAGGAGCACCTTTGTCTTCAGTACTCAAAAAGATTCAAAGTCTTGGATACAAAAGTCAGTCCTCCCAGTATGATTGCCCCTATGGTTAGATTGTCATCTCTGCCCCTCTCTAGCAGAAATTAACATACATGTTTAGATTCCTAATACTGCTTCATGGAGAGCATGGGAAAGATGTTCACTTCTAGACATTTCAACAAGTTTAAAGGAAGGAATTAACTCATTTTCAAGCTGAAAATACTGTTAGCTTGAGTAAGCTTTATCTATATTTCTAATCAAACTTTTTTGTTCTTTAATCAATCCTGTTACTTTAAGGAAGAAAAGAAATCATGAATGTCAGGTCTAGAGGCAGAGAAAAGTAAGAGGTTTGTAGCATCACAGCAGGAAAACTCATTTGGGTTTTCTGCTCATTTGGAATCTTCATTTTCATTCCTTTGGATTGGTGGCTACTCAGGCCATGAAATTTTGACAGTTGAGTATTTGTTTTTCCTTTTTGAGATGTAAACCTGGTCTTGATTTATTTCCATGTTATGTTATTGTTTCAGATTCATTTTAATGCCTGAAATGGTGAGTTATGACCTGCCATGGCCATTGCAGCAGCAGCAACAGCAGTAGCAAAAGCTAGCCACAAGTTAATCCTATTGTGATTTGTTTTTATTTCAACATGGATGCTGAGCAGCCACTAAGCTAATGCAATTTTCAGGCCCATTAATCCGGAACTGCAAATCAAATAGGAGACAATGTGTCTCCCTGATGAGTCTCAAAATCCACCAGCAGCAGCATCTTGAAATCTCTTGAGCTGCCTGCTGATTGACCAAGATCTCAGGGACCCCAATCTCAGGATGGCATGACTTTCTAAATGACAGAGAAGGAAGAAATGATGAAGCAAAAGAAATGGGGCATTAGACAGTGCCATTTTGAAAAATAAATCAAATACACTGGTGTGTGTGTGTGTGTGTGTGTGTGTTTAATAGCCCTTGCCCCTCACATACACACCAAAGGATACCATGACAAACTAGAGGATTAGGATTTCCATCATTTACCAGTTTTATTTCTCATTCACATATACGGATATCCTCAGGGAAGTCCCTTGTGCAGGAATTCTTTCCAACAACACAGATTGAACTTGGGAAATAAATCGTAGGGAGTCGCACAAGGCATTTGGAATTTAAATGATTTGTTCAGGGCTCCACAACAAGTAAGTGTCAGAGCAAGAGTTTAACTCAGTTCTTCCTGATCTAAGCACAACACTTCATCAACCACATCATGTGCCACTCTCAATACAGAGAAGAAAAAGTAAATGAAGTATGTCATTACCATCCATGCAATCAACTCATTCAACAAATATTACTGAGCACCAACTATGTTCCAGATAATGCTAGGTGCTGTGAATGCAAAGACAAAAATGAAATGATCTCTTCCCTCCAAGAAGTTGCTTCCTATTAGGAAAAAGACTCTTTTATTTATGTATTATCTCCTCCTTTAGCATGTGAGCTCCTTGAGGACAGAGGCTATTTTTGCTTAGGCTTTGTATCCACAATACTTAACACATTTCCTGACACATAATAAGTGCTTAATAAGTGTTCAAATGATTGATCAGAAACTTCATTCAACTCATGCAAATCAACAACTAATCTATAACTAAGTAGACCTCAAAAGAAGAGATTCCTCCTTCTGGTGCTCTCTATCCGTTTCTCTAGAATGACTTTCTGTCTCTCTCTCTCTCTCTCTCTCTCTCTCTCTCTCTCTCTCTCTCTCTCTCTCTCTCTCTCTCATTCTCTCTCTCTCTCTCTCTCTCTCTCTCTCTATCTATCTATCTCTTTTCTCCCTCTCCCATGGTGGAGAAGGCAAGGAAGAGGCTTTTTTCTTCTCCCCCTCCCCCTGCCTAGCCGTAATGATGGTTCTGAATATATGTGCTGGCAAGGAAAGCCTAAGATGAGCCTCAGGCCTTTGGCAGCTTTTTCTGCTGTCCATTTCCCTGAGTTCAGATGACAAAATGGCAGTCTTGAGATGAATGTCTCTAGCCTTGGCAGTTACCTTATTAGTTTAAAAGATCAGAACCTCCTAGGTCTCTCAATTCCTGCCAGCTACAAAACAAGGAGTCTGCTGCCACTTTATCTTTCTCAAAGATGGCCACCAGTAGCACAGTGGATAGGTCACTGGCCCTGGAGTCAGGACGACCTGAATTCAAGTCCAGGCTCTGACACATAACACTTACTAGCTGTGTGACTCTGGGCAAGTCACTTAACCCCAATTGGCTCACCAAAAAAAACAGTTGGCCACCAGAAAGAGAATCAATTTAGCTATTTCCTGGCAAGCTAGAAGACACAGCCCTGGAAAGAATGATTTGAACAGTGTAGGGCTGAGGTGAAGATGAAGTGACAACTCAGCAGCCTCACAAAATGTCTGATATGTGCTTATACATGTATGTGTTATTTCACCTTGAAAGTACCCATACAAATGAAATCACATCTGGACCTAAACACATAAGCATGTATGAATTTATCGGATTCTTTCAACAGGTTCCTACATGTCAAGACTAATGAACAGCTCCATTTTACTTAATGAATGGGGAGAGGAAAGGGCAAGAAGGGGAAGTTTAGTTAAAGAGTCAAGATGGAGGAGATACCATTGGATCCTGGAAACAGTGTTGAAATCAGGAAGAGAGAGGGATAGCTGTGAGAGAATGATTCCAGAAAAGGAAGAGGGGACCTTAAAAGACACAACGTTTACTCTGAGGTACCACATCATACCTATCAGATTGGCTAATACGACCAAATAGGAAAATGATAAATGGAGAAGATGTGGGGAAATCAGACACTAATGCATTGTTGGTGGAGTTGGGAATTGATCTAACCATTCTGGAGAGCAATTTGGAACTATGCCCAAAGGGCTGTAAAACCGTGCATACCCTTTGATCTAGCTACTAGCTACCATACTGCTACTGGGTTTGTATCCCAAAGAGATCAAGAAAAGGGAAAAGGACCCACACGTACAAAAACTTGTATAGCAGCTCTTTTTTGTGGTGGCCAAGAATTGGAAATTGATGGGATGCCCATCAATTGGGCAATGGCTGAACAAGTTGTGGTATATGAATGTAACGGAATATTGTTCTATAAGAAATGATGAGCAGCTGGATTTCAGAAAAACCTGGAAAGACTTGTATGGACTGATGCTGAGTAAAGTGAGCAGAACCAGGAGAACATTGTACACAATAACAACAACATTGTGTAATGACTAACTTTGATGGACTTAGCTCATCTCAGCAATGCAATGACCTAAAAAGATTCCAAAGGACTCATGATGGGAAATGCTATCCACATCCAGAGAAAGAACTATGGAGTCTGAATGTAGATCAGAGCACATTATTTTCTCTTTTTTTGTTTTTCCTTTCTCATACTTTTTCCCTTCTGTTTGGATTCTTCTTTCAAAACATTACTATTGTGTAAATATGCTTAATATGATTGTACAGCCTATATCAGATTGCATGACATTTTGGGGAGAAGGGATGGAGGAATTTAGAATTCAAAATATTATAAAAGTGAATGTAAAAACCAAAAATTAAATTAATCAATTATTTTTTAAAAAAACATAATGTTTGCCTGCTTGACAATTTTGTCTTTGGCTAGTATTGCATCTATTATGCTACCTCTTATTACAATAATCAAATCAGATACAGAAAAAGCTTGAAAACAAAAAGTTTGTCCATTACCAAAAAAAAACTATATAAAAAGAAACAAAGAATGCCTGTCTCTGAATTACGACCTGCATATTGATGGGTTTTGACCAGTGGTTTTTGCAGAAGGGGTCAGTTTGAAGACTTGTGCAAAAGCAGACTAGAACTTATGTTTCCATTTGAACTCTAATGACTGAATCAATAGCTTATGAAAAGAAGTTCTCAGAGTAGCTGAAAATGAAAAATTAAGGCTCTGTAGCCTAGATTTTCTCTAAAAGCATGAATCAGTATTCCAGATGAGTTAGAGGAGTGTGTCTGACTTTCAACATTAATTACAAATGCAAGGGATTCTGCAACAGCATAAATGAGTTTTAAAGTACAATCCAGCTCAATCCAGAATTTCTTGAAATGGCATTTAAAAAAGCCATAGCTTTGTTTGAAAGAATTTACAACTAAAATACAACTACTTTAATTGAATTAAAAGGAGCTGACTTTTGGAAGGAGAATGGATCAGGAGGGACTGTCTCTTTTCCATAAATTAGCTTTGGAAGATGCTAGAAATAGGAGATTTTTATACCCAGCCAGGAAGCATAATTGGCATGTCTTGAAAAATATGTTGCAAAGAACAATTCCTGGGACATCACCTGAATATAAATAGGAACGAATAAAATTCTCAGTGTTCTAGTGAGTGGCCTATTTATGTGAATTTTCTCAAAGGTCTCAAACTGATTAAAGTCACAGACATTCATTCTATTGATCTTTGTTAAAGGTAAATTTGGAAAGTTTTATAATAAATAAATGTCATGGGAAGCCAGTTGCTGATCTGTTACCAAGATTCAGGCAATAGATAAAATGACACCAGAACTCAGAAAAACACAGTTCTTCTTTCCTTGATGCTAGCTGTTGCTAAGGGACCCATTAGGACACTCTACTCATGCATACATAGGCTGTGTAAAATTTTTAAATAAATGACTTATGGGGAAAAAATTGTGAATAAAAATTCTTTCAGCTAGTGAAGGTTCTGCTGGATCTTTCTCCCATATTCACTGTTAATTTCCTCAAGTATTTTTTGCCTCAAGTTTAGTTCTTCCCACAAATAATTTGTTTTCATTTGTCTAATTGTTCGTCATGCTTCCAGTCTCTCCCCTCTCCTGTAGATACCCCTACAGCTACCAGCAGGATGTTCCTAAAATACAGATCTAATTATTTCAGACTATACTCTAAAGCCTTCAATGCCTGAAGGTTGCCTCTAAGATAAAATAAAACATTTTCATCCTGGCATTTATAGACTTTCACAATACGGCTTCCATCTATCTTTCTAGCCTTATTTCATAAGATTCCTGTTTGTGCAATCTTCATTTCATTCAAACTGCCCTACTCACTATTCCCCATACATGATAGTCCATGCCTTGTCTTCCTGCTTTGCATATATATGGAATGGTTTTCTTTCTCAACCCCTCAGTTGTTAGTGTCCTTTCCCTATTGAAATTACTTTGTATTTATGTGTGTATTCTACAAACTTTTTTACCTGTGTACATGTATCCCTCCCATAGCATGTAAATTCCTCAGAGACAGGGATTCTTCAGTTTTGTCTTTGTATCATCAGTGCTCAGCCCAGTGATTTGCTCTGTGGTTGTACTCTTGACTCATCTGTCCCACCACTCAATACTCCCAACTTTTCCATATGGATCGTCATAGCCAATGACAGTATTTGGAGCCCAATTGTGTCCCTGCTCCACCTGACCACCAGCTATGACAACTGGTACTGCAAGAGTTCAGACAAGCCTGCAAGAAACTGACTTTGACAGCTCTGCGGTTTCATCAATGTGGGTACTCCTTCAAACAACATAGACTGCAACCCATCCATATCTTTTCATTCCGTGTCCTCAGAAAAATTCTTCACAGGGCCTCCATTTAACATGCTAGACCAATTTCTCTAGGTCTCCTGACATCGTGTCAAAACTGATGAATCACATGGG